TTCTACGTAATTACATATATATATTCTCTTTTTTTTTTTTTCATTCTCACATTACAACTACAAATATTATTTTTTTTTAAAAATAATAACTAAATTCTTTATTGAGTATTATAACAATCTGTCTGTTCGACATTGGTTATAGTGAGGTAGGATGACATTCACACCATATGTACAAAAAAATAAAATAAATAGAACAAAATAATAATCAAAAGTATATACACAAATATTATTAAAAAGACTTAATTATATTATACACCCTTCGTTGGTCGTTGACGGGTGTATAGTTAAAATTTGAGAATCTTTTTTTTTTGAGATGTATTTTTTATTATGGGAAAGAGGGTCCAAATTCGATTTTATAAAATTGGGTCGGGCGGGGGGAGGAGGGTTGTTTTGAATTTTTTTATGGGGGCTAACGGAAGTCAAGGTTTCGCAATATTCATAACAAAAACTTTGTTATTCGGTTATTTGTTTAGATACCACAAAACTAAACCGACCACCACCGATCCATTAAAATTTGTTAAGTGTTTAATTTTCATCTATGATGAAGCGAGAAAATTGTGGAGTCGATTAATTATTCAAAAAGAGCTGTAGTCTCTCCACTTCTTTAAACTCTGCTGAGTTTATCGCTCGCAAAATAACCACAATAACATTGGACATTGACTCAGCTACATCCGTGTAAAATAAGAACTTAATTTGAATATTGTGGCGGGCGGGGTGAAATTTTTGGAAGTTTTTTTTCCCGATTTCAGGCAAATCCGTTAGGTTAACCCTAAAAAAAGTATACCTTTGTTAGGCTCGGGAAGTTAAATCGAATGACATCTTTAACGGGAAGATCGAACGATCGAAGATCGAGTGTATTTTACCCGTGTTTTAAGCGATAACTCGTTACAGATGTTCGGTATTTCGGATTTTCTCAGTTGAGTAGTGATAATTTTTTCTATCAGTTGAATAGTACAACTTTTAAATGTGGCTCGCGGTAGAGTAGGTTGGGATGAGAATCGAAGTAAGTAACTGCCTAACCAGGATCTCTAGACAAATTACTCAAGAATTCATAACTTTTGTTCTACTAAATATTTTTTTTTTCATTTAAAGCCTATATTTTAAGTCAAGCAAACCTAAATATAATATCTAAATTTCAAACTCTACCATTAGCCATTGCCGAGCTTCCCTCTGACAAAATTTTGTTGGACAATGTGAACATCCAGACCGAAAAAACATTTTTTTAAAGTGGATTTGGTGTCTGTAATGTACGAAACGGAAAGATATCATGATACGGGTTGATTCTATTAATGTACAAACAAAACCTTTATTTTATTTATATAAATGATCTTTGACCTATAAAAATATTTTTTATTAACATTTATTATCAACATTAACCAAGATATATAGACAGATTGCTCAAGAATTCATAACTTTGGTTCTACTCAATATTCTATTTTCATTTAAAGTCTATGTTTTAAGTGAATCACACCTTTAATATAATATCAACATTTCAAAAGTCTAAAATAAGCAATAGCTGAGCTTACCCCTGACAAAAGTTCGTTGCGATGCGGACATATAGACAGACAAAAACATTTTTAAAAGTGGATTTGGTGTCTGCAATGTATGAAATGGAACGATGTCATAAAACTGGTTGATTCTATCCATTGTACAGACAAAACCTTTATTTTATTTATATAGATTGTTAGAATTTTTATTAAATTAGTCTCTGGCCAGATTCTGAGGGCACTCTATTCAGGAATAAATATTCTTTCTCTATTCTATTCTAAAAAATGATTCCAGAGTAAGTGATTGCAGTGTTGACATACAGAACTGTGGTTGAAGGTATATAATTTCCCACTAGAAATATCACTAAAATTAATAATCAAAATTTTGAAATCCGATTCTGTCAACCGGCACCGTTCTGTCAACTGCCAGGCTCATTTAATGGTGTCGCATATTTTAACAGTGTTAAGCACAAGAAGCTCAGCAGAATAATGACGGAAAATGATATCAGTAATACTTTGAAAAGCAACTTAAATATGGCAAAACAATTATTTTTACTTTTTGAAAAAAGAACTTAACCGACGATATGGCCAGCTGTATAGATTACTAAGTAGGACATCCCATCTTTCGATTGAAAATAAACTTTTAATCTACAAGACCATACTGAAACCTATTTGGACCTACGGACTTGAACTGTGGGGAACTGCTAAACATTCGAATATCAAACGCATCCAATCCTTCCAGTCCAAAGTACTTAGAACAATAGTCAATGCCCCATATTATGTCACAAACAAGACCCTACACCATGACCTTAACATCCCATTTGTCCTCGACATCATCCCAACCAGATTCTCAAACTTTCACCAAAACCTTATCCATCATCCAAATCCTCTAGCTCAATCCCTATCCAGCTCCCTTCATCCCTACAATCCTCCACGAAGGTTAAAACGGCAGTGGCCCAGAGATCTCTTGTAAATATGCTTCTGGAGTCCTGGCAATGGCCAGCTTCTCCACTCATGTCCCGAGCGTCTGTGGCTCTAGTTCCCTCTTACAGTCTCCATTGGCTTCTAATACTAGTGATGCGGCTGGAAAAGTGGATCTCCTGGAGTCTTGCTTTGCCTTCCACATGTTGGGGAAAAAGCCTGGCTCAGAGATTCCTGGGCGAATGTATATATTGTATATAGGTATGATTGTGTTTATAAGTTTCTTTTTATGTTATTGTTTACTTTTTTTTTCTTTCTTCATCAGTATTATTTATTTACTTTTTATATTTATATTTATTTCTCTATTATTTGTATATATTGTTTGAATGAGAACTTTTAGCCCTAATACTTACAGCCCTCCAGTGGGTGATTGTATTATTATTCAATAAATAGATAATAAAAAAAAAAAAACTTTTCTGAAAAAAATACAACTCTACTGCAAAATTAAATTTATCTCATTGTTTAGTGAACTTCATTAAGTTAAAAAAAATCTTCAAATTTATATTTGGTATTATGTAAATATAAATATTTTTTAAGGACTAAAATGACCCATGATTGGGTTAAAAGATCTTAATGTTATAAATAAATTATCTTTCATTCAAATATGTAACGTTAAATCTCTGATTCGAGTAGACATAATAAAATCTATTGTCCCTACATTTAGTCCACTTACCACTGTAATGATTACTGTGATTTCAGAAAATAAATCATGTATCTTAGAAAGAAAGTATCATAATTAAAATTCTCAAAATCAACTAAAAGACAATTGAATATTATATCCCAGTGAAAAGAAGGCTTTGGTAAGCAGAATAATAAATAAAACTGTTCCAATTCCTCCATATAATTTATTTTAAAGGTCCTAATGCCGCAGAATAAAAACTATCATTCCCCGTCCGTTCGCTATTTTAATACCAATGGTAAAATATAAGGATGTAATAAAAATATCTGTAAATATAATAACGAGGGATGGTGCTGATAAATCTGGCATAGGCCGTTACTATTCATACCTGCATAGACTCCTTCCATTTCTTTATCTTGAGCCTGAGGAACTCTTACGGCTGTCCTTATCAATGATCCTCGTCATAAAACAGGAAGGGAAATACCTTGCCAAGGACTCTGACTCTCCTGGTCGTCAAATGTTTTATAGCGAACCATTTGTATGGAATATCTCACAAAACCTTTCCGCCTCTGATTTCAAGGCATAAAGATAGCACCATCGGCGAAATCCCCTTCTTCCTTACCTTTCCTTATTGGGGAGCTATTAATACTTTTATATATATATATATATATATATATATATATATATATATATATATATATATATATATATACATATATATATATAATATATATATATATATATATGTGTGTGTGTGTGTGTGTGTGTGGTATTTTTTATTTTATTTTTTAATCATATATATCTAAAGGGACTCGTCCCAGAATAAATAAAGTATTATTATTAAATTATCTTACTTCAAACATTAAAACTTTACAATTTATTTAATAATGGATAAGTTGAATATCAAGGAGGCTCGATTAACATTAAGTATGTATGCTATTTACTAAAGCCAATGAAATTCTTAGATTTCTTTTCATTATAAATAATCAGCCGAATTATGACGAGTGCGTATATGTAAATAAGTTTCATTCTAAATAATCTTAGGCTCAATTAGAAATATTTGATCTAGCGGAAATTCATTATACATATATAAGGCTATATTTGGTACTTTTGAGATGGTCTGAAAATGGATCACTACTACAAGACAACTTAAATGATTTGAAGAATCTGCTGTGTTCCTAGCCACCCCTATTCTAAAGCGAGGAGGGGTTCCAGAAACCACATTTATATCTATTTCCTGTATTTAATATTTAGATTTAGATTTAATATTTATATTTGTATTTCTATCGGTCTTAAAAGGGAACCGAACTACTTAAAAATACATGAATTCCTTATTTGGAAGATAGATACCACATAACCCCTACTGTAGAATCCAATATTGAATAATTTAATTTTCATTGGATATCATTTCAAAAGGTGTCATATTTACTATTTTTATCTATATCTAAAGGGTGGTATTCAGGAGTATATTTTTAAAGAATCAAGATGTATACAAAAAGTAATCTATTTGTGTTCTAAAGAATTATTAATATAAACGGAATTCTTTGATGGAGAATGCAATATATGCATAGGAATAATTAAACGGTTACCTTTACTGATTACTAAAACAAGTTAACATGGTAATAGCTAAATGAATGTTACAACTTATCAGTTTCTCCATGGAAGCATGGAGGATCTTTCCTCTGGACTCTAGATGATCCTCTCAAGTATCCTCAGCGGCCTTCCTCTCTGTACCACCATCCAAGGAACCCTCTCTAGGCTGACCTCTTATCTACGTACCATGTCCCAGTTTCTTCTTTGCTGTCTCAAAGCAGACTGGTCTCTCTGTCTGTCTCTGACTAGATTTCAACTCTACCTCTCTGTGTCGGCGATCTGTTTATATTCCCCTAATGATATTCATTAGTGTTTTTAAGGTGAGTGAGGTTGTGTCGGAGTCGGGTCCATTAGGGTTTGTTGCTCCTGAAGATCAGCCAGGTAGAAGTAATCTAACTCTATTTTTAGATTTTTTAGGAGAAAAAAAAGAGTTTACCTTTGTTGTTTATCGATTTGAAAAGAAAAATTAATAAAACGAAACAATAACTGTACATTATTACTTCAAAGTAGACTTAGATATATTAAAGTGTTACACGTTTGCTTGTTTAAATAAAAAATGAAAATGAAGTTACAGAACAAACCTTTTCCCTAAAAAGTCATTAATTTTATAACATCATTCCCATCTATTGGGATAGCCATGTATTAATCTTTATCGTTGTTACCGGCCTGTAAATTTTCATAAAACTGCTACGATTCATATTTAGCCAGAAACTGTTTCAGATGCACAAGATCTTTTATTTTACAGTGTTTTAAAGGCAGAGATGATTCGTACAACTGGCGAAGAGTAGGAAATATTTTATTTAATATTCTTGTTGATTATATCTCTGGTCTCTGAGAATGACTAGTTAACTCAGCTTATCCTCACATTGCTTTAAGTCGATCATTCTTTAACTCTTCAGCTCTTAGGTCATTGGTAGAATAGCCAAGTTTGGCATTGGTCGACTTAAATAGACAGAGATATTAAATTAAAACGTGCCGAGTTTGGCGGGTTTCTTCCAAATTTCGACCCTTATATTATTTTATGCTACCATCTATTCTTCTTTATTAAAAAACTAGGTATTCGGATTTTTTTTTGGAGTTTTTTTTTCCTAGAAACATTTAAACTATTCAATTCAGCTTATTCTGGACTACAATATGGCACCAAAACAGGAGAAAGAGAGAGAGAAAGAATCACTTTATTATCATAAAAGGGTGCTGCCCAATTACATTGGGTTGCTTTAAACACAGCATACTTATTAATCGCTACAGACAATTTTCCAAAACTAATATACAATTATATAGTATTAACAATATGTATGAGCATAGTATACAATATTTTTTTGTAAATATATATATATTTATTATAATTTTTTTTCTATATATTTATATATATATATATTTATTCTTCCTATTTCTTTCATTAATTTATTACCATTATATATCCCTTTCTCTTCCTTCTGTTCCCTTATATATTTTTCTCATTCCCTAAATTCTCTCCTCTCTCTTCCTAACCTAATTCATAAAATGCATACAAATACATAAAGTGCAGTGTACGAGGTCAATAAATAATGTAAAAATACTGCAAAAAAAGTATGCCTCCCCCCATTAGATCTAATAGAATCTAGTTGTAATGATTTTCTCCTAATCTCTTCATTTAAACCCGATGTCACTGCAGTGTTATGGTTCGATTGAGATGGTTTAATGGTTTGTCAAATCACAATATTTATCAAAGTTAATACTATTTTTACAAATAATTTACTTAATTTAAAACTTATCCTAAATCAATATTACAAAAAACATTTTATCAAAATTATATGTTCAAAATCAGGAGTTGAATTTGAAATAAAAAAAGAACCAGATATTAATAGATTGTTGGATTAAAACGAACATAACACCACCCAGAGATATAAAAAATACCAATAATAGGAGAAATATTTTATATTAAATAAGTGATATTTATTTCATTTGCTTCGTTGCCTAATCTTAAAAATATTTCAACCATGATTAAATTGGTCACCCGACCGCTTCAATAAAAACAAAGACTTGGGATAGAGTGGGATATAAATAAAATACATAACAAATTTATAAAAAATATCAATCGGTGTCCATTGGTGTTGGCAAGAGAAAAGCCATAGCTGTCACCGAGTGTTCGAGTTGCTTTAACTCACCGTGTTGAGGAAGGTATCCTATTTTCTTCCATTGTATATTCTGCTCTTTTCCTACTGTTTGGGTTATTCTCTTCTTTCGCACAAGAAAAAGAACCTTTATGGCTTACTAACTAACCCAATCTCATGATAAATTGAATTACCTTTTATTATGTCATTTATGTATCGTGATAAGTGACCATAATCGACCTATTTCAAGTCCATCTCTCAATAATTAATCAATAAAATCATGTAATACTTATTATTTGTTTTTACTTTCACTTACATATATATGAAATACATAGTAAGTGTAAGTATTGCGATCGTGAAAATTTTCGAATCTCAGTTTTCAATGGAAATACGTGTTTTGAGGTCCCCTGAGTCCAAATAACCAAGTGCCGCAAAATGGTCTGTGTGTGTGTGTGTGTGTCCGTGTGTGTGTTAAACACTCTAGCTCATAAACGAAAAGTAGTACGAAACTGATATCAAGTATTTAAGGTTTGTATATGGGCCGGATGTGACAGCAACTTTTTCGTTAAAATCGGCTAACCAGAAGTGGCACTTTATATGAACGCTGAAACACATTTTTACAATTTTCTCAAAAACAACTCTAACGATTTTGATTAAACTCGGTGTCTCATCGTATAATTAATTGGTCTTTAATATCATTTAGTCCTTATCCCCGTTGATGTCAGTTTACAGGGCTTAAATGCTCAATGTTCATATGCGTCTTCCTCTAAAGTACCTTTAATATGGTTTATTTTAAATAATCAATTATCTCTCATTATTAAAAGTTATGAAAAAATGCTAAATATAACTTTTGAATGAATTTGATGATTGAATAAAGGAGAAAAAAATAAAAATGCTTATCCAGGTCGAAAATGAATCTCTGGAAATACTATTCCGAAGATATACGTGTAATATATCGTTGGAAAGCGGAGAATTTTAGAAAAAACAATATCGAATATAGATCGTTGTAAAAGGAAACGGAGATTGGCAAAAAAAATTATAAATAATATTTTTTGAAAACTAATAATATTTAACGTAAATCACATGTTTTCAAGGAAATTAAATGAAATTTACTAACTAAATGCAACCTTTTAAAATATTTTTAAGATTGAAAGAAATATTTAAAATCCACCTAATAAAGGCAATGACATTGTTTAAATAACTATTTCATTGTACTTGTGTGAAAGAAGAAGTAAAATATAAAATCATTTCATGCATATGTTTATAACCTTAAATATATTTACTGTAGTTTAATAATTTTATTAGAATCCATAATCAATTGGATCGTACAATCCATAATCAACCGATGATATAATAAGTAGGACATTGGTTATTTTAATGGTATTTATGATTTGTTAGCTGTAATTTTTTAGCTTTAGCTCAGTTAAAAATGCAATTCAAAAATGTTATAATAGCCCGATATGGCCAAAAATAATTTCTATTCAAAGTTGAGCGATAAGTGAAAGTTGTGTGTTGCCCTCACCAGATTTTTTAACTGTTATTCAAATTTTATCTTTTATTTTTTTATGCTCTAAATGTTATCATAAAAAAATTAATAAGTAAAACCATAATGATGTTCAATATTAATTCAATTTGTATTTTATTCTTTTTACAAACTTCACTATGAAATAAAATGTCTGCATTGTCTGCATTGTTATATAGGCATGACTACTCAAAACCTTAATAATAGGCTTTAGCAACATAAAAATTCATATACTGATTATATTGACAAAAATAAAGGGGAAATGAGCCTTTAGCTCACAGCTAACAGCTAAACAGCTTTAGTCAAACATGCGTCTGATTTTTTTTTTAACTTGTTTATTGAAAAATATTACAATCCGTCTCAAAGGACATGGAAGGCATCTGACTTCAAACATAAATTTGACTTTGAGAAACCGGTGATCCTCTATCGCGATAATTCTGAACAAAAATTAAAATACTTGGAGGCACTTTATATATCAGAAAGCCTTGATAGGGTGGTAAATTTTAAAACTGATTCAAAGGTGAGAGTTTGGATCATTTTAAAATTAAGCAATTATTTATCGATACTGAAAAGGTCTTTTTCTACTAGAAACTTCGAATTTCATTTCAAACTTTCTTAAGTACATAAAAAATGAAGATAGGTTGTTAAACATTTAGGAAAGAAAAATCTAAGAAAATATTTATAGCCTTGTCAAAAAAAGGAATCTTTCAAGAAAAACTATGAGTTGAAGAACTTTAAAAAAGCCTCAGATATTATATCCAACACGATAATAAGATAAATGGGACATTCAAAAAGAATGGAAACGTGGTAGACTCTTTAAAATGATGAGTAAGTCAGCATGTTCAGTATAACTTCCACAACATTTTTATTTGATTGCATAATTTTCTATAATTCATAGTCTATGATTTGTCGTTCTGGAATAACATTCAAAGAGGGATCTTTATCCTAAAACAGCACGTAAACCATCTATATATCATACGATTTTCTTAATTTTGTTTAGTTAAATATGTTTCTGTTTCTGAAAGGTACAGCTAAATCAAAAAGATTAATGTTATGGTGTTTTGTTTTTCTCCTTTTTGCCTATACGAAGTTTTCAACGAGTCAGAGGAGAGGACGGGGGATTAGCGTCAAATTTAAAAGCCTCCGGTAACGAGACACAAACTTGTAATCTTCAGTTTATCAGGTTGCCGAACAAAGCGTATTTTGCACAGGCGTTAGCTTCATCGTCAAACACACTCATGTAGGTTGCTTTGATACAAACCGTTTCCTTATAATTGTTAAATGCACATAATTATATATGATGATTTTCAATAAATTACTTGTTTGGTCCACTTTGTAATCTAAATAAACTAATTTTTAAATAATGTTTGTAATATGATCTAAATATTTTAACAGATAGACATTTTTTTTTAATTCAGCAGATCCTGAAAAGTAAAAAATCAGCGAGAAGTTGGAAATTGATAATAAAAAAATTATTAAAACTTTTTTGGTGAATAATTCTAGATATTATTATTTAATATTTTAAATTGATATAAATAAATTTTATTATCTTATACAAATTTGAAATATATATATTTTTTACAGTTTCACAAGCGGAGATACTCGGTAAAAGTGAATTGTACATTAAAAGTGGAAGTGACATCAGCCTTACATGTGTCGTCAGAGAAACACCTGAACCACCATCCTTCATCTACTGGTGAGAACATTTTTATATTCATTTTTTCAATTATTTATTAGTAACATATTAGTTAATTAACATTACAAAGAATCGGAAAGTCATATGATACTGTCATACGGAGTGAATTATACAAAGGAATGTTTGAACTGGAGATTCCTTTCAAATTAATCAGACTGGCAAGTTGCACAATGTTAAATATGAAATTCGACGTTAAGATTGGTGGAAGAACCTCTGACGCTTTCGGTGTTGGAGTTGGCTTCAGATAGGGAGATCCATTGACCCCTTCACCTTAACATAGTTCTTAATGTTGTCATAAACAGAGCAGAGCTAGATAGGCGCCGAAACGATATTTAATAGAGCCACACAGCTTTTTGTTTATGCGGATGATGTGGCTGTTATTAGAAGGTCTCTTAACTCTGTTAAGGATGCCTTTATATAGCTTAAAAGTGGAGCAAACAAAGCAGGTCTGGAAAGAAATGAAGAGAAAATTAAAGTAATGGTTCTCAGAAGAAAGAAGCAAAACCACCCCCAAAAAAATACATCATGCGAAACAGTTTCGAAGGAGTAAGCAACTTTGAGTACCTGTGATCCATAATTAATAAACAATTCGACGAAGAAGAAAAAGATTATGGTGGGGAAGAGACCATATCTTGGCTTTTCCAAGATACTGAGGAGTAATGTTGCCCAAAATCGGTCTTGATCTTGCGCTTTTGCGCTTTTGAGACCAGACCCTGCAATACTCTTGTATTCTTGCAGTTAAGTCAAACTGGGACTATTTTCAGATGTAGTACGGTACATAAACATTTTAACCATGCCTCAAATTTAAGCAGCGTTGTTTTGTTTTTTTCTTGTTGAATTGTATATTTGAGTATAGCTTTCCTAATAATAATAAAAATTAATCATTTCTTTTGTTCTCCTATACATCGCCTTTTAGGCTACACGGGGATTTTCTCGGGAGAATGAGGGCGGGAGATGAAAGCCACAGTTAAAAGACCCCCAAGGCAGCGGGACGCAAACTCGTAATTATTTTATGGTCTTCAACATAGGTTATCAGGTGACCCGCCAACGTACAGTGCTGTGCACACTCGTCATCCCGCTCGGCCACCCCGCCCCTAAAAATCAATCATTTGCCAGGCCCGCCAGATAAGAAAACAAAACAAAAACCGCATTTTTCATGAATAAAAATAAGACTGAATGGTTTCTAATACTAAACCATTTTAGTTAATATATAAAAGAATGGTAATATGTAATTTTTGTTTGGACTAGCATAATTATTTTGTTTTCTAAATTGTTATGGATAGATAAAATCGTTACAATTATTTCACTTTCCTCCTTCAAAATGAAAATGGTTTCTCAGCCACCTAATTTGTGAGAGAACTTCTTTAATATTCATTGAGGATTTGGACGACTCAAGGGTCACGAAGCGGTCTCGTCTTGGTCTTGCGTTTGGGCAACACTACTGAGGAGTAGGCTGACCAGTATTACCAATAAGTTTAGGATGTACAAAACACTATTAAGACCGACGGTAAGCAATGCCAGCGAAATCTTGATGATAAATAAAAAGACCAATGATCTATTGGCCCTGTTTGCGAAAAGGATACTGAAGAACATCCTGGGACCGATTTGTGAAAAGTTTGGCGCCTTATGAAAAATATGAATCTGTATAATAAATACAAGGACCTGAATATCTCAACCAGCATCAGAATCCAGATATTGAAGTGGTTTGATCATTTAATGAGAACGGACGAAAATAGGATGCCAAAAAGAATTTATAAGGATATACCAGACGGAAAGGGAAGTAGGGGGAGACCCAGGAGCCACTGGAGAGATAATGTACTCCAAGATATACGGCACTTGAGGATGAAAAAGTCCATGTAATGGATAGAAAGAAAGTGGAAGGCAGAGGTTGAAAAAGCCAAGGGCGCCTGTTAAGCTGAGCAAAGAAAAAGTATCAGAAAGTGAAGCTGTAGTATGACCTAAAATATTTACATAAATAACGTAAATATAATTTTGTTATTGTTGTAGGAGTAGGTCCCTTGGCCATTTTCTTTATGGTCTGCGTTGATCAGCAATATATTATACAATATATGTATAATATACCTAATTTACAAAATATATATATACTCCTCACAGTGCTTAATGCGGTTCAAGAGGATAGATTATGATGATGATAATGATATATATATATATATATATATATATATATATATATATATATATATATATATATATATTTACTATACAATATAACATATATATTTACAATATATATTAATATATTATACAATTCAGTCCAAACACTAAATTGTACTTAAAATCATAATTGCTAACAGTTGTAATTACAATTCAGTCTCTTATCTTCACTTAATTAATTTAGTTAGAATGTAATAGGGGTGTTCATGCAACTTTTGGTAAATGTTTAATGTGTTATCATGCTAAGCAGTTAGCGTAAATTTTAAATAAATGACAAATAACCCTATTGTACTATCCTGCTAAAGTGTTATTAGTTATAATAAGATTATGATATATTGTAAACAGTAAACAAAGAATTTAACACGATATCAAAATCTAACCGACCCTACAATCTTCTCCGAGAATTTACAAAATTAGCAGCACTTTACAAGACCACTGACTGCAATAAAATCCTGTGTACTAGCGTCCATAATTAACACAAATCTTAAATAACATCCTCGACATTAACACACTTAAAAGGTTTACAATACTTAGTACTGGTTTCATGAATAGCCCCAATATCTGAATAGTTAAAGTGTATTCTTATTGTTAGTAATAGTGTTATAAATTATTTTCTGATAATATTATCTGTAAATCTATTATTTCCTCTTAAATGTAATATATGTAAATGGGAGAAATAAAGTTTCGAAATGTCGCGTTGTTTATTTATTTATTGAACATCAAAATCTAATAGAAAAAAATATATACACCGTAGGAATGCTTATTAATGGACGCAGCATTGCAAATTAAAACAAAACTTCGTAGGTTTAAAAGTTTATATTATTAAAGTTAACTTATATGTTATATAGACAATCATTATAACTTTTACAATAAATATAACGATTAATTTCGCTGATACATTTATTTCTTTAATTTCAAGACTCCAATTAGATTTAGTTAATCCATCTCCAAATCTATAATTCCTAAGAAATTATAATGATTAAATACTTAGTAGTATTTTCTTTGACGGTGGCCGCGGTCTTCGGGTGAGTAAAGGCGCCTGCAAAACTATGCTCACAACTATGCATTAAGGATATGTACTGCAGCGTATAGAACATCACCTGTGGAAAGAATATATGTTGCAGAACCGTCAATGAAAATAAGAAGGTCTTACCTCTTCCCTAAGTATATTGCGAAATTGGCGTCACTTCCGAAGCATCCATTAAAACCTATTACAGGAGAATTATCCGAATACATAATCCAGAGGAACATGATGCAATGAGCATTCATTGAATCAATCCCATCTCTGGACCAAAATATGAACTTACATTGCATCCAACAAATTCCAAACAGTATCACATCTGCTTGGTGTCACCATGATATAAATGTAAATATATTACTATCTAAGCCTTCCGAAGGCTCGATGTGTCCTGTGGATTATAAACAATAACAATAATTTCCTGTTTTACAAGAATTCAAAGAATAATTTTTATTATTTTTCTCACACTTTTCCGCTGTTGCAGGTACCGAGGTAGCAACGTGATAAACTATTCGCAACGCGGAGGAATCTCCGTGACGACGGAAAAGCAGACCAGGACGTCACGACTCCTCATCGCCAGGGCTCTACCGGCGGATTCCGGCAACTACACCTGCGCTCCCTCATCTTCTCACGCAGCATCAGTCATCGTTCATGTACTCAATGGTAAGTAAAAGAACATCAGATCATTTCCGATAATTTGTAACTTTATACTTCTTTTTTAAGTCTTTCTATTATGTAAAAAAGTTTTGAGCGACTTTTTTATTTTATTTTGTTTTAGTATTAGGAGAATAGAAGGTGACAGGAGCTCAACTTTTAACGATTATTTTATAAATTATACAGCTGTTCATTTAGCTACACACATGTTGAGCTCCTGTTACATCGTACTCTCCTAATATAAAATAAAGATTTTAGACTAAAAATTTGTATGGAAAATGTATTTCATTTGGTAAATTCATATTTATCTGGATGTAGTAGTTTGATATTACCTTCGTGAAAGTAGTTTGTTTGTTTTAATCTAGAAATTTTAGAATACAATATATTAATTATTATATTATTTATATTATATTGGGATATAATTATACTTATTATGAAATAGAAAAGGAAGTAAAATTTAATATGCAATGAAAATGTTAGCAATAAAAGGCTGAAATTATTGTTGGGCTTATATGAAGCCCAAGTTGAATAAGTGTTATGGTTTCAAATTGTTTTAAACCTCAGAACTTTTACAGATAATGGGAAAGTTTAAATTTGTTTTTTAATTAGTTGAAAAAATACTAGATTAAATAAATATTTTATATAAACAATGGAATGTTTACAAAATCTCACCGAGGAAATTTTAAAAAACCTTCATAAGTGCTCATGGTGTCTATGATAAGCAGAAATATGAAGTCCTATATGAAGCTTACCAAAAGAAGACAAGAGCAAATGCTGAGAGATTCCTGGCTAGATTAATATCGATATCCGACAAAGCTTAATATAGAATATGTTTTATCCCAATTCATTAAATACCATCACATTCATGAGTTCAAACCAAGGTGTTGGTTCCAAATGTAAATATTTATATCTATTTAGAAAAACTCTTTTAATCCACCATAAAATGTTTATAAAAGACTTCATCATGGTTTCTTTTCTATTAATACCATTTTTCTTCAATTTTTTGATAATTATATTTTTCAAGAGATACATTTATTTTTTTTACCTGAGCAAGTACTGTCACATTTGTGTCAACTTTTGCATCACTTTTAGTTGGGAGAATAAAGAACAGCTAGTTGCCCTATGGGAACGATTTGAATGGTGTATTGCTCAGTCACCAAATGGTAATATATTTTAAAGATAAGCAAATGAAATATTTATTTATCAATGGTATTTTATTTTGAAAAGTAGTAATAAATATTAGTAGTATAAATAAAGTAGTATGAAATTGGCTCTGGTAGATACAATTTTTTTCTAACTTATTTACTTTACAAACAATGTTAGAACCTTTCCCATGGCCATTCAACCATTATCCATCACCGATCAGAGCTCAGGGAATTCATTAAAGAAATTGTTTATTATTAATCTTGATTACTTTACAAAACTTCTTTGTAAATAATATCATGGGACCCAGCCTGATTGACCAAGTTTTATTTGACACCTTCCAATTATTTTTTTAAACAAGTCATGACATGTAATGTACAATAATAACAGAAATTGAGATTTTTATATTATATAAATTAAACACCTTTGAGAAATAATATGGGTACTATATTATAACAATTTTTCAACAATAAAAGTAAATAACTTCTAAATAAATTAGAAATGAACTTTTGTATGAAAAAATAAGCTGTTGATAAACAACTTTTCACATAAGCGGCAAGCTGATGTATGAATGAATGCATGAATGAATGAAAATAATTTTATTATTCTGGGATTAGTGTCCCTTTAGAATAAGTCACAAATACAGAATATATATCAATATTTTGGTGTGTCCATGAAATAAAATTTAATATTTACAGGTTGATTCATAGTACAGTAAAGTTATAAATGATAAAAAGATATAAATACATGTAAATATAAAATATAAAGAGAAAGTAATTAAGTGAACGAAATATCGATGAATTACAAAATAATCAGAGTATCTGGGTGTACTTTGAGGTTTTTACAGCTTAGGTTTTTAAGTGCATTTCGTGATCAATCGGATTAGGAATGGAGTAGGTGTTCGAAGAGGAGATATTTGAAAGAGGATATCGATTTTGCGTGTCGAATATCTGAAGGTATAGAGTTCCAGAGGGAGACAACTTACATTAAAAAGGATTTATCAAATGCAGCAGTTCGGTGAGGGGGAGGATAGAGGTCGGACGCACGGGATCTGGTGGGACGGGAAGGAGCGTTTGAATTGTAGGATCTGTAGAACATAGGCAGGTTGCCGTGTTGTAATGGCTCGGTATAGGAAGGTAGCCAGAAAATATTGACGGCGGTAGGACGGATAAAGCCACTTCAACTTGGTGTAGAACTGGGTAATATGCGTATCCCTTGAGATCCCAAAGATAAAGCGGATTGAGCAATTCATTAAACGTTTAAGTTTGGTTTCCAGGAGAGGCTTTGATCGAGGGTAACACCTTTGATGTACAACTTATATCAAAGTAAACCCTTTCCAATGCTCAGGCAGCCTCTTACCATTTCTGGGCACAGCTCAGGTATCTCACTGCTCCAATAATGTGGACATCATGTGTCAGAATGAAGATGATCCACTTTTGTTAATATACACTTTCTCAAATATATATATATAATTTAATTTTCTTACTACTTTAAAATAATTGTATTTCTATTGTAAAATGGATATTTCATATAAAAGAAATATGAGATACGGATTTAAATTCAGAATATTTTTTAATCAAATCATAATTTTTCCATGTTCAAATATAAATGAATAGTATCTCTAGTTTGATTTTTTGTGTTAGCAGAGCACCCTGCAGCAATGCAACATGGTAACAGCAGTTGTAGCAGAGTGAGTGGACTGGCATTGATGCAGCCGCTGTTTGCTGCTGTGCTCGCTGCAAGACTTGCTGTACGCTGAGCTTATTGCCAAGTGGGATATGTCCATCCAACATGATATTACTGTAAATATATGTATTTGTATGAAAAGAGAGAGAATCTTCAGATATGTCAACATGCTACAGATCTGTGTAAATATAACTATCGTTAGAGACCAAGACTTGAATACTCCAGAAATGTGGAGTGAGAAGGGATATAGCAGCTAATGAATTTTCCTTCTTTTTGTAAGACACAACAGCTGTTATTTCTTTTCCTTTTATAGCAAATATGAGATGTAAGTATACATACCTATAACTAATACAAAAGGAAAAAAATGATGTGTGTACAAGTGTACATGGGATTTTGAGAAACGTGATAAAAACTTATTTTTATCAATTATTCATCCCAAAATGATATTTAAATTAATCTCAACTAGACATGTTTTGATAATTTCCAAAACCATACTATTGTTTGCTATTTTTAGTAAGTAATCAAAATAATAAACAAAGGATTAGTGTGTAATTGATGAAATGAGTTTTTATCAATCTAGTAAAAAAAAAGAGTATTGAATTTTTGTAAAAAGTAAAAAAAGTAAAAATAATTTGATGGATGATTAAAACAGTATGAATACTTTGAGTAAAAGTGGGTAAGAGAAAACAACTTATGTATACTACTAATAATGCTTAAGATATATATGTGTTAATTGTGAATGTTTATTCAGTACTTCTATTTGTTTCTTGAATTATAAATAAAGGTTGCAATTTACAGCTTTTCATTAAACATTTTAAAAAATAAATTTAAAAAGAATAGAAATCCTTCCGTTTCTAATGGCTGAATAGTGTTCTGATTCTCTTCTCATCTTATTACTCAATTTAGAAACACAAAAAAGAAAAAGTAAATATATTCACCTAAGGTGTAGACTAAATGTTTTGTGTCCATCTGCTCTCTTCTAACACCTACCTTTTTTCTAAATCTATGTAAAAGAAAAAACAAAAAAAAATCCAACAAAGTGAAAATTATTTTGCATGTATTTGTATGTGTATATTTATAACTAAAAGGTGATATTCATTATTGTATCACTCACCATCAGTGGCAGATCCGTGGGAGGGGAAAGAGAGAAAACTTTTCCTTCCGAGATATTTAGAAAAAAAAATATTGTTTAAAATATACTTTATATAGAATTTGTGAATAATTGAATAATACTTACTCATGTATGATTGTGAATATATTAATATTCATTAGGAAGGGAATTAATTTATTACAATTTGCCACAAAGATAAGGTTATTTTCTCCCAAATTCTGAGATCTGAGATAGTTCCCTCCCCCCAAAACTACCTTTGGGTCTTGGTGTCATTTATTAATTGCAAAAAGGTACAAAATTACATTTATTATATATAATTGAACAAAATAAATAAGGGAAAAATGTGAATTATGATATAACTATTAGGTTAGAACATGAAAATATTTTGTAACTCTAACATCAAAAAGAGTGGGCTATTACTGTTACCCATTTAATTGGCTCCTTTATCTGTTTGGTTTATCAAAATGTAACTTGTCTCCTTTTTGAAATTTGCAACTGATACATTAATGTATTTGTACACATACATAAGAAGAAAACATAGCATTTTTCATGTAGTTCATTGTATTATATTTTAGATGATAAAAGTGTAAATACCCACTTAATATATACATATGAATATCTCCATTTAGATGTCATAATGAACTTTTCAATGTAATAGATGATGCTATTGAGAAAACATAAAAAAAAAAAAAAAAAAATGTAAAACAAACAAAAAAAAATAGAGATGATTGTTTATATTTGTTTCTTACCCTGAGGTAATTACATATGTGTAAATAAATGTTTTTGATGGGAAAACTAAAATGATATATTTACTGTTGTTATATGATATTTTTTATGTTAATGTTTGTTTGTTTTTATGTAAAAGGTCTAACCGAGACCCTAATCACATGTTCTCGGCCTTTTTCAAACCTTAAAAATGTCATTCTATCTACATGGATAAACAAAAATAAAAACTAACTTATAGAAATACTTCATTCTACTTTCACTCTCTAGAACCCCTGAATACTTATTTTTATTATTTACTTTTTATTAGTAATTTCTGAATATCATCCAGCAAAACAAAATAGAGAAAGTTCCTCTGCTTAGTACCCACAGAAATTTATGATGAGTCCTTCAAAATATTGAGAAGAAAGACTAATAAAGATGTATTTTAAAAACTTACTTAGTACTTAGCCAGTCAGTTTCTCGAAATCTGAAGACAAGAAGGTTATAATGGAGGGTCGATCTGCCTTGATAAAATCCATCAGAAAATCATTCAACAACTATAAACAGAACTGTTTACAAGTTTAAATGATTAAGTTATTGATTTGATTGCTTTCGACCGCATTTGGCACACCGGACTACTCTTCAAGCTCAAAACCCACCTACTGCAGTCCTACCACTCTGACCGTTCCTTTCAAGTTCCTTGTGGTACATAATTTTCCAACTGCCATTCAATTGAGGCGGGAGTTCCTCAAGGCAGCATCTTGGGTCCCGTCCTCTACATTCTGTTTACCGCTGATATTCCTACTCATCCCGAACCCCTCCTGGTAACATTCGCTGATGACACAGCCATCCTATCTTCCAATCCATATCCTAAAACAGCATCCTCAAACCTACAAAGTCACCTTTCTCTTATTAAACATTGGTGTAATAAGTGGCGCATCCAAGTAAATGAATCCAAATCCAAACATCACTTTTACCCTTCGGCGCAAGTAGTGTCCACCAGTCTACTTATATCCACACCACTTCCTCTCTCAGACACAGTCCGGTATCTTGGCTTTCTTCTAGATAAAAGACTAACGTGGAACCAACATGCCAGACTTAAAAGACAACAACTAAACAGACGATTCGGACAGCTATATAGATTAATGAATAGAAAATCTCAACTTGCAGTGGACAACAAACTACTAATCTACAAGACAATCCTGAAACCTATCTGGACCTACGGATTAGAGCTGTGGGGGTCAAAAAAACCTTCTAACATTAAGCGCATTCAATCCTTTCAGTCTAAAGTCCTCCGAACAATAGTTGATGCTCCCTTCTATGTATCCAACAAAATCCTCCATAATGACCTTCATATCCCATTTGTTATTGACTTAATCCCAAACAAATTTTCCAAATTTCACCAGAAACTCACTCATCATCCAAATGCTGTAGCACAATCCGTATCTAGCTCCAGCCATCCCTACAGTGGCCCCGAGACATTTTGTAAATATGTATATATTGGAGTACTGGCAATGGCCAGATTCTTCACTCAAGTCCTGAGCATCTGTTGCTCTCGTGCCCTCCATCAGTCTCCACTGGCTTGCAATACCAGTGACACTGTTGGGATAGAAGCACTGAGATCTCCTGGGGTTCTGCCTTGGCTTCCACATTTGGGAGACAAAGCATGACTCAGAATCCCCTGGACAAATGTAAATATTGTATATGGGTGTGAATGTGTTTTATATATTTCAATTTCATTTAGCTTCTCTCTATTTTTTTTTTTTTTTTTTACCTATGTATGTTAATTTTCTTATTTTACTTTCCACAACTCTTTTTCTTTTATCTCTTATCTGTGAATGTTTAATGTAGCCCTAATATTAATGCCCTCCAATGTGGCAGAATGTATTAATTTTCAAATAAAAAAAAAAATTGACTTGATAGATGGAATAGATTGAATTCTTAATAGTGAATATTTCACAAGGAAGTTAATCCACCAATGATACACCAATATAAATGATACACCAAATATTAAACCATGAAAAAACAATCTTCAATTGTTTTTTCTGTATGTGCTAAATAAACATTTAAAGCTAGAAGTTCTCGATAGTTAAAATGTGATAAATCTATTTATTTTAATCATTATTAGTTATTATTATTGGTAGTTCAGTAGTAAAGATTATAATTTCTGAATTTCTTTTTGGTCAATTTTTGTGATAATAATTAGTTAAAGATTTGTAAATTCTTTATGGATATCTTTGATCCAAGTTTTTTAATAGTTTTCTCATTCGGTCTGAGTTACAATTTATTTAATAAAATGGTGAAAAAACCGCTTAACAACTTTTTTGCTAAATTATTGCTATTAAATCCTGTTTGAAACATAATACCAAAATTTAAAAGGATAATACTAATTATGAAAATAAATTATTCATTTGTAACTAAAAAGTATATTAAAAAATATCTGTACATTGAGCTATTATGTTGTTTTCTTTTTACATCTTCTATAATTATAAAAAAAACAAAATGGTTCTTTATCACATTTCATAAAAAAATAAAATAAAAAAAATGTAGTAGCAAAATATCATAATAAAATATAATACAGGTATATACTATTTTTAAATATTTCAATTTTTCACAAATGATATTAAAAAAATACTTAATTATTAAAATGTGGAAATCAAAGATTCAAAAAATCCTTATACCATCAGGCTTTAGTTTTATCAACTAAAATCTAATCTATTCAGATTTTAATGTAATACATTGAGATTCTCTTGACATTAAAAAATATAAACATTGAATCTGTCTGTAGTACTATTCGAATATATTAACTATTCTTCAAATAATAGGGTGTATAGAAATAAATGACCATTTTATCAAATTCAAGATTTCAAAGGACTGTAAATATTTTAATCCTATTTAATACTAACCAATACTTAATAATCCATTTAGAGCATTCTCTAAGCTTGTTTAATCTCATTTGACATCTTCAAAAAAAGTTTCAGTTTAGTTATTTGTTTTAAAGAAAAAATATGACATTGCCCTACAAAATTCTCGTAATTTGAAGGCATTACTGGAAAAAAAAGTTTCGCAGCCGCTAAAGCAACTTGTAAAATTATTTAATATGAAAGGGAAGGTGTTCTTGACGTGCTGTTGGTTGCAAAAATTTAGCAGTGGAGATCCGAAGTTGGAAAGGAAGAACGGGTCCAGGCGATCATTAATGAATATTTTTTTCTCCTGTACAAAATATATTTCTGCATAAAAAATTACAATCACACCACTTTATTATAACATCTGTAAGGTGATGTTTCCATAAGCATGTAAATATTATTATACCTTATTGTGTTGTATATATATATATAAATAAAATAATTTTTGATTTGATTTTGAATGGATATTGATGAGGTTCTGCAGGAAGCTCTTGAGTCAAATTCGTCCACAACTACTCGCAAACTTAAGAGGGAGTATGATGCGTCGAAAGATACTGTTAGTCATCATCTACTAACATCTACTAATTTCATGGGGAACATGAAAAAAAAAGCAGTAGACTGGTCTTTCAGCAACTTATTCCTCAGCAATCAGCTAAGAGGTTAGAAATTTGTGAAAAATTATTGAAAAACCCTTCTGATATGAGATTTTACTGAAAGCTTGTCATCTGTGATGAAAAATAGGTTTACTGGCAAAATCGGAATACCCTTGAGCAATGGCTAAATCGCGGTCAAACTGCTTTTGCGAATTAAAAAAAATTCATGCCTTGCGTTTTTTGGAATTTCGAAGGTGTTATTCATAATTAATTAGTTCCTGATGGATGCTCTATGAATTCTGAACTCTACTGCAAATAACTGAAAAGATTTTATGCGAAGTTTTCAGAGCATTACCCTGCTTTGATGAACCGAAAAGGAATTTTATTCTAACAAGATAATGCCCATCCTCACACTTCCCATTGAACCAAAGAAAACTTTAAAGAACTTCATTGGTTCAAACTCCTGCCTCACTCATCTTATATTCCAGACCTCGCACCATTGGATTACTATTTATTTAGATCCACGGCCCAATTTCTTCAAGGGAAAAAATTTGATAATTTTGGGGAAGTTTAAATTGCGGTCCAAGAGTTCTGTGACAGCTATGCCAAAGAATAATATCAGTGTGAATCAAGCAATTAGCTAGCCGTTGGCTAATGACAGTAGATAACAATGGACTATACTTTGAGTATTAATTGTATTTTATATCAAAAAATAATCATACAAATATTTGATTGAAAAACGGTCATTTTTTTTATACACCCTATTCAAATTTTAAGATAACTCAAACCCCATGAGCTTATTCTTTGATATTCGTGATGTACAAAGTTTTATTTTTTTCAATAATCATTAACTCCATTTGTATAAGATACTGGAAAACTAATTACACCCCAATTTCTCATTTAATTTTATCAAGATAAATACTCCATTTATTCATGATTTTTCTGCTATGCAAGTTGCAATAAGAAGTTCAATATTATGGCACAAGATGCAGTATTACACAATAATATTAAAATCTAAGGTTTTCTTGAACTTTTTATTCACTTTATTGTTCTGATAAAAGATGATTAAACAAATATTTTGGAATATTCAGGGGGTATATATCCATAATCAAATGTTATGCATTGTTCAAAGGATAATAGACAAAAATTCATTGTTATCGATATCTTTCATTATATCCTGAAAAATGAATAATGTAACCTCCTTGTTCAAAAATACAATTTTACATGCACCTAAAGCATTTGTTTGAGCCTGTTTTTTACTTGCATAAAAAACATTTACAAAAATACTAATCATATAATTCATTATTTTTTATTGTATAAAAGATTAATAAATAAAAAAAACTTTAGATATCCAAGCATACTCAACTGAAAAAAAAAAATAAAAACAATTTTACATTTAAGGTAATAAATACAGTTTAATGTAAAATATAAATTTATAATACTAATACAGAGATTATTTGTAATTTCCGTACATACTTTGATATCAATTAACATTTTTTTTATCTACAAATTATAATTTCTTTTATATATACAACTTTTAAATTCTTAACAAAAAAGTACACTCGCACAAAACAATAATAAATTCTGGTTGGCAATGTAATCTTAAGATAAAAATATGTCTTTAAAAATTATAACAAATCAATATAAATTAAAATTGATTTTAAAATACATTAAATATGGTAATATTTTTATAAAGAAAAAAATATTCAGAAAGTTCAGAAGAGACATAAATTCTTAATAAAATCAAATCGTTGCTTTAGTAATAAATTTTATGAGATTCATTGAAAAATTGTATTAAGCCAATTATGATTTAGAGCTATTATGTTTAATTATCCTTGATCCTTGGTTGATGATGGATTCAGTAACCCTGAGTCCCCCATAGGAAGAATAAGGGAGGGATGGGAGGTTACAAGAAGAGTATAGTAGCTAGTATGGGTGGTGGAAGGGACCTAGGGACCAAGGGAAATAGTAAAATTTGGCTGATTTCATAGAAATCACAAATTTATCATATTCCGAAACATTAAAACTGTGAAATAATGTCAATTAGATATGGTTTTGTTATAAAGAAAAATATAGTCGAATTTTTATATAAATGCCATTTTTAGAAACCTTAAATTTATGTAGTAAAAATAAACTGTATGTTGAATGAAACTTACATAAAAAAATCTACGTTTAAGAAAGTATAAATATTTTCATCAATGTCCCATAGCTGGAATGGGTTCATAATGGTCATAACTAAATAGAAGGGAACATGCTTCATAGAATAAAGGAATTTCGGGAAAGGTCTTGCTTATGAAACAGCAATTATGAAACAAAATCTCCAAATCTCTTTCCAAATCTAAAGTGAAGTTTTCATTTTAAGTTAAGTTAAAATATCTCTTTCTCGTTCTTAGCATGACTCTTAAATAAAAATCATTAACAAAATTTTGTCATGTCGCAAATAATATGAGTAATGGTTTTTACTGTAACAAGAATCAAAAATCTTTCTATATATCCATATTTCTATATATTAAACTTTTTTCAGGAGACCTTTCCCTCCAATAAATAGAGATTTGACTGTGAAGAACTGTTCAAATTTTTTAAAGTTTTAGTATTAGAGTTGATTATTTTTAAATCAGTTATGATAATTAAATGACTAGAATAATAAAAAAGTTTAATCATGAATAAAAATTTAATAATTACTATACCATATTCATTCAATGAAAAATAATAACTTTAATTTATTAATGATGTTTTTAAGCTTTGCCAAATAAATTGTATTTAATAACATGAGTACAATACCAGAGTCTGCACCAATATTCAAAGAATATAACTTCTTATAATAGGCTTAAAGACTATAGAACTTTTTGAAGATTTTTTAAAAGAGAAAAAGCAAAATAAAAACATTAATTTCAACAAGAAATAATTCACTTCATATATTCTACATGTTTTGGCCAGAGTGAACTTTTAAGTAAGAATTAAATTATAATAATATCTTACTTATAATTTATATCACATTCATAACCTTAGTTTACTAAAATTATCGCTCTTCAAGTTTTACTCCTTCTGATTCACCAAGAAAGTCAAGCCTGTAAACAGAATACAAGATGAAAAATTAATAATCATGATAATAAACTAATAAATTATGATCAATAAAACATATTTTTTTGTCTTAAGATGATCAACCAAAAAGTGATAATTTAAAAATGGAAGTAAATTATTTGTGTTCATATGTCAAATTTTTTGCTAATAATAATTTATGCAGAATCTATTATTATTTTTTTTTTTTTTTTATTCAATCTGTGTTGGTTAATTGGTTGTTTTGATTTTACATATAAAACATTGAAATGAATTCCATAATATTATGCTAATTTTAATATATTAATACGAGATTGAACTAGGCATGTATATTAATGATTGATAATTAATAAGTTACAGACTTAGGCAGTATTTCAAATAAAGTATTTGAAAATACAAAATAAAATACATTTTTCGTAATTTGTTTTCTAAGAAGTAAAATATGAAATACATTGTTTGTAACTATATCTTCTTTTGAAAATAAAAATACAAAATACATTAAATGTATTTTATTTTGTATTTTAAATATATTATCAAATTGAGAATGCACCTTTAACTATATATCAAGGCTAATCATTCGTACTAGAACTCGTCCATGAAAATTGAATTTTCATTAATTTTTTTATTTTATTACAATCGATGGTGCTAAATTTTTAAAACAACTATATTTGGCAATAAAACTGGTAGATATATAGTAATTGTGAAAGTTTACAGATTTTTTTTTATTTGAAGGATGAAAGAATATATGTCAATAGTTATATTTAAGTTTAATAAAAAAACAATATCAAATATAAAAACTTGTGTGTTGCGTACACCAGATTTTTTGTTTTAATACTCCCATGATACCACAATGCCAGTTTCACTTGAATGAGGAGTAAATTATAAAACTATACTGTATAGCAGTATATCATAATTAGCTTTAAAATCATTATTTTTTTTAAAGATATTTTTTTTAAATATACAAGTTTGAATAACGATGTTATTTAAAATACAAAGTTACATAAGATTTTTTAATACTAGGCATGTCATCATCAAAAGTCACTATTTTATTACATATTCTACAAAATGGCCACATTGTAAATATAAATTCTGGTTACTTACTGCTTAACAAATCTTCTCTGTTGAACTTCTGTTGTAATGTAGCCATTCCTCTTAACACTACCATTTCTGGTATAATTATGTACACCATTACCATTCATATGCTTGGTCTCAACCTTCATCTAAAAATATATTAATTTCATTAACAGTTTTATTGGTTCAGCTCATTGTTTTAGTATTTTGTTCAAGCACATAAGAAAAATGTCATTTTTATTTATAATCACATACAATTAATAATATTTTTGGTTTATAAAATGATGATAAAAAAAAATGTTTTTTTTCAAACTTTTGATTTGGTATGATCTAATGTAAAAACACAAAATGAGTTTTTCACTTAATGCATTCAGTAAGCTCAACATTTTTAAATGTAATTTATCAACCTTCAGTTACCTGTTTTTTCTTGTTGTATGATTGATTGTAGAAGTCCTTAAAAAGAAAGTAAAACATAATAGCATGAAGACCAATCCACCAGACAAAAGCTTTGGGGTAGTCACATTCAATCAGGAGTAGTTGAAAGGCATGAACCATTACAAGAACAAATTGGACCTATTATATTAAGAAAAGAAATTTAAACAATATATTAATAAAATATATAGAAACATTAAACATAATATTGGTTAAAATATTAAGTTGAAAATAATGTTTTAATTCCAAATGATTATGAAAAATTATCAATCTATATTATTTAAACTCTCATATACAACAAAATAAGCAGCCTAGTAGCTCAGTGGAAGAGCACAGACTTCCAGAGCTCAAAGTCTCAGGCTCTGACTAGTAATTTCTGGCTGATGACCAGTAATTTTTCATCAGCCGTGGGTCGATCCTGGGGCCGAGAGACCCTCCTGGTTCAAACCCAGCCTCTATAAATTGGATACTCTTAACTAAATAATCAATTAAGGGAGAAACCTAGCGGTTGAGCTTGATATTAACCCTTCACCTCTCTGAACAACCATTGGCCTTGAAACCGTGCTTCCTCACATTGTACTGAAAGACCTTTTATGGTCCGTGGTACAGACCCCTTTTTATCAAATTATTAACATCCGCCTGAAACTTCATAAATAGTTTCATCTCATCGTAATTTACAACTATATTATTTATGAAAACTGTTGGAATTGGGGCGTTTTCAATCTGAAGGGTGACAAACTTTGTTTATTTAATTAGGTATTAAAAACTCGTAAATACCCGTTTGCTTTCTACTTGGATTTTAAGATAATTTGATCACAAAATTGATAAAAATGGTGGCCTACAAAAATATTGGGCTGTTTGTTCTATATAACCTCGTTATTTTGAAAATTTGGGTGTAGGTCAAGCTAAACGGCTCAATATTTTTGAATTATCTTACGAACCAAGTAGAAAGCAAATGGGTATTTACAAGTTTTTAGTACCTGATTAAATAGAAAAAGTTTGCCCCCTTCCAGATTGAATACACCCCAATTCCAAGAGTTTTCGTAAATAAAATAGTTGTAGGTTACGATGTGATGAAGCTATTTACGAAGTTTCAGGCAGATGTTAATAATTTGATATAAAGGAATCTGTACCAGGGACTATCATGGGTTGTTAGTGGTATAGGTTTGGATTTTCTTTTTTATATAACAAAATAAAACTTTAATTAACATATGAAAGATAATATACCATTTGGAGTACAGTGAGGTATTTTTTCCACCATAAATACTTCTGCATGCTTGGTCCAAAAGCAGCAAGCATGTAGTATGAATACATTACAATATGAACAAATGTATTCAACATTCCAAAGAAAGTACTGTGGCCACCTGGAATGTTAAATTATTATAATTAAGAAATAAATATTATTTACTTTTTATTTTCATATTACTTTATAAGATGTGCTTCAAATATAATATTTATTGAGATCTGAATTTGAATCATAAAATATTATAGTACCAGACTAGTCATGTTGAAAATAAGCCATGAAATTATTGATCAAATATTTATAACAATTTTACAATGTAGTTTTGACTAACTGTAAGCAAACAATGCTATAATGTATGTATAGTCTGTATTACATAAATTTCAGTTACCTGGAGTGAACTTGACACCAAACCATGTTGAAAGAGGCATGATACCATGGTGAATTACATGCAGCCTGGACACATGATCATTTTTCTTTCGAAGAACGAAGAAGATCTACAGAAAAAATTGAATTGCTATTAAATTTTAATGGAAAGGAGTTGATCGGGGAGTGTGGTCAAATAAATACTAAATTTTAAAAAAGAGTATTTTTAATTATTACACCTTATTTATGGGGGGGGGGGGGAGGAGGAGTGCCGTCAAATAAATACTAAATCTTAAAAAATAGTATTTTTAATTATTACGCCTTATTTTAATTATTATGCCTTATTTTTAATTATTTTCATGGGCTTAAAAATTAAAAAATATAGTATTTATTTGATCGCACTGTTCCCTCCCCCACGAAGATTCTGAGGAAAGTGTTGTTGAGATTGATCTTTCATCAGTATTTTTGTAGCTATATTTCAGCAAGTCACAATAACTTGGCAAGTATCATAAGTGTTATTTCTTCTCATACATCATTTTTTGGGATGAAGATACTGCCGAATGATAGGAGCTCACTCAAAACTGTAATCCCATATTGTTACCTTTCCTTCTCGTCTATTGCCACTCTTGGTACACATGTACTTTTTCTTTTGCTGATTAACTTCTATAATGATTTGTTTTTCTGCTTGTTCTTATATTATAGATGCCTCATTTATTATGTTATTGGACTTTTTAATCATGAGAGCATTGCCAGCATAGAAGCATTCTATAAAATAAATATTATTGCTAGTTTGGATTCTGGATTTTCTTATGATCATTTTCAAGGTGAGATTAAACATTTAAAAGAAACTTTCTCGAACTTCTTTTTGCTTTTCAAAAATCTCTGCACGTTCAAATCGTACCCTCAAGTTTAATCCCATTTTCTAAAAACTATTGTTCTCCTCCACAGTGTGGTGTATAGCGAAGAGGGAGAGAATTCCAGGATATGAATAGAGAACACAAAGTGAAAACATGAGTGGCCAACTTCTAGTTGCTCTCTTAGATGCCTTCTTCAACTGGCAATGAACTGTGGCTCTATTCAGCTTCCGGAAGCATTAAGATGTGAAAATTATGTGGCAATTTGACAATTACAATAATTTCAATAATAGTTGAAAATCTTACAAATTAAAATAAAATAAGATTGTTTACTTACAGTGTCTAAAAATTCGGTAAACTTGGATATGTAGTACCACCAACACCCACTCGCTGTCTGTAAATAAAAAATATTTCAGTTGCAAACAGTAAAGTCGTGACAGCGAATTCATTTTAAAATTAAGAATATGATTTATATCTTACTCTTAGAGCATGTGGTGAATAGGAGTAATCTACTGGCTGACATTTAAAACTGTACGTTGTGAACCAACCAGCATGAATAGCCTGAAAAATAAAATTATTTATTTTAGGAATACTGTTTGTTTATTTATTTATTTAATGCTGTTTGTTTTCAAGAACTTATGAACTCTAACTATGAAATTATCATCCTACCCATTACCAATCTATTCTAGCCAGAGTGGAAAAGTTGAATTTTGTTCGGACCATCTTTCATGAATGGGATAAAAGACAAACATTACAGAACATAATAAATTATTTAAGCAATTTCTGTTTTATAAAATTTATTTATAAAATAAATGTTTGTTAAAAGACCAATATTTACAAATTCTTCTAATTTGTAAGATCCTATCAGACATTAATCTCTCATAAAATTTGTATTGTGTTTAGTACTAAAATTTAAAAAAAACATTGTCAATCCATAAAAGCTGAAAATATTATTTTTTCTGGATGATTGATACTTAAACATAATTAATAATTGTTTTTGTAATTGTGTTCCATTCTTAAAATTGATCCAATAATAACGGAGGGATTTAACATTTGTTTTAATCCAGATTTTACAATTGACCACAACATATCCAGTTTCTTGTTTTTTTCTCACCTTCCTCGCATTTTAGGTTATACAGGATTCTTTCCATTCCAGGGGAGAGGGCAGAGAAAATATTCCTGGGTTAAAAGTCCTTCCCCCTCCCCCTCCAGCACCAAAATTTGAACTCGTAAATTTTGGTTTATCAAATCAAACACACAACCCATAACTTCCTCTTTAAATTTATATATATGCTATAAATTTGTATAATAAATAACATTAAATTTTCTTGAATAAAATGTAATTTAGTTTTACTTATTTTATAATTTTTTATTTTTTCCATACTCGAAAATAATTATATCATAAAGTTTCAAATAAATCATCCAATAATTTAAAAAAAAAACTTGATAGAACTCTAGAATCATTATTTGCGTTGTCTGTATGCCATTTTCATCTGGGAACCTCAAATTTGGCTGCTTATGACCTAAAAATTATACTTACTCCACTGCTTGTCTCCTATATATAAAATGAAATAATTTACAGAATTTCCGGAAGTAATTTAAAACTTCAGAGCATATGATAAATGTTTAAATTACTTATCTGCATTATGAGAAGTATTAGTCCATTTTTATAAATAATAATAAATAAATAAATAAAGGTCATTATAATACCTCTGAGAATAACCACGCAGAAAAAATGACTTGAAGAGCATTATATATGATAAGTGTCTTCTTTAGATCAAACGGTTTCCTATTTTCCATTAGTTTTGGTCCAATTTTTGTAACAATTAATGCATACGAAGCACAAATAAGGATAGTTGGTAATGGACCAGACATCAGAGGCCAGTCACTAACCCTCGGATCTAGAAATGAAGAAATTATTTTTAATTTCCTGATAGTTGAATATATAAATTGAAATAAAAAGATACTAAGTTATATAAATTGTATTTAATAAAAATGTAATTGCATAATACTAAAGTTTATTAACATAATCTATTAATATCCTTCCCATTACTTTAATATTTTGCGCTTACATATACTTATTCAGGCCTTTTAGTGGTAGCCAGGTCATATTCCCATAAAAAGAAGTTTGGAAGTTTGTTTACTATTATTATATTCGTTCTTTAATGTATAGTTTCTTAACTGTTGGTCTGCAAGATTTTTAGGTGGTCCATAAAAATAGTCTTAAATTCAGAACTAGTCAAATTTTGTTATTAAAAATTAATTTAAAAAATAAATTATATTTCGTTGTTAAAACATGTATAACATTACTTGGTTTTAAAAAAATAATCAATTATATAAATATTTATTATATCAGTAATGCTAATGGTACATAAAACATTTTTTAGTGGTTCTTCAGTGTAAAAATGTTGAGAAGCTATGCTTTAATGGAACTTGTCCTATTTTTCAAAACTCCTTAGAGGATTTTATAAAGCGTTTCATAAATAATTTAGTTCCTAAACCATGCTTAATTTTGTTATTTATGTGATATATTTATAGTTATTACTTAATTTAACTATAAGTATCATTTAAATACTAATTATTAGTTAACTAATTATTAGTTAAACAGTGAGTTTAATAATTTTATTTAATTGAAAATGACAAAATAAAGGTCATTACTCTGTTATTTATTAATAGTTCAAAGTTCTTACCACTTTTATTTTGCATGATATCATTGTAACCCTCTGAAATTTTTTGCAGTATTGTAGTCATCATTGGACGTTAACAAAGTCTGTCCTGAAAACAACCATAAATATTACCAATATATTTAAATTGTATTTAAATTTGTACCCAAAAAGTGAACTCTTTGATACCTATCTAATCTTAGTTAAACATTAACGCTTCAAAGATACTTAAAATGTTCTAAGTGAAAATTAAAATCAGTATGGTAAATAGTATTTTCAGATATCACATAAAAATTATTCTACCAAAACAAATTATATTATGTTTCACATTGGTTAAGAATCATAGCGTATAATTATATGTTATTATAACCATTTAAATTTTTAATATTCATTATATTAATATTTTAATATGCTAACTACACATTAGGACAAATTAATATATACTTTATAATAAACATAATATGTATATTTAATATTTAAGTATTATTTAAGATAATATGTGTATAAAAACATAATATCTATAATTAAAATAATATTATCTAAAAATGGTTCCAATAAAAGTTAGTATATGTAGTAAGTATTGATTAAAAGATAAATTTAATGTAATCTATCTTTTTCCAAACACTATAAAATCTATTCCATCTAACTTCTATAAAAAGCTTGGATATTCAATGGGTTCAAAGAGAAGTGGAGTTCTCTTTTCCTCTACACAAAAGGAAAGAAAAATAGAGACAGAAAAGGGGGACCCATGGTTCTGTGATACCCATGTTCTGAAAATTTTGTATATAAGTATCTCTTTGATTAAGATGTTAATTTCAATATTTTTTCCCATTAATTAATTTATTTAATATTTATTTTTGTTTCCTCACAGCCAGCAAACATAGAGAAGCTATGTATTCATGCAGAAAGTGAAAACAACTTCTGTCTCTCAATCCTCTGATTAGATTCTCAGAATCAAAAATTCCCATTATCATTTTATGTTTTAGGCATCAGAGGACAAATTCAGTTCCATGTCTGACTGTAGTGAAATCCATGTAATGACTTCTATCTTTTTCTTCCCTTAATATGATTTTGATAAAATTTTGTGAGATTTTTGAGAAGGGAAAGGGTGAATATAGGGGATGGTACCTAAATGGTCAGATATCAATGTTATTAAATTTCATCCGCTACTTTCGCATATGCGCGCCACAAATACGCCTTTTTTTCATAACATAACTATATTGGGCGAGCCAACGCGTTGTCCAGCGACCTGATAAATCGAAGATTACGTCCTCAAATATGGTGTCAAGGAAGGGATGGAAGTGAGAAGGGACTTTTAAATCAGGCATTAATCCCCGATCCTGTTGTCCCTCTGACCTGTGTTCACAACGCAGTTTTCTACGTCCTCTGTTCATATCTTCTCTAGTTCGTGTTCCTTTTCTCAAATATTCTAAAATGAAAAGTAAGAAAATCATTCTATATCGTTTTCCTTTTAGTTTATCTCCAAATAGTTAAAAAATTGAGGGAACTGCTTTAATTGATTAACCATGTTGACGAAATATAAGATGGAAAAAGAATGATAAATCCAGAAATTTGTATGAGGATGGGAATTGAAATTTCGGCGTGGGTTTATGAAACTGAACATACCATGTTGGTCCTATCCTATCCTGTTTTATGGTGTTTATTATCAATATAATAACAAATAAGGATTGAAAAATAACTGGTAATTCAAGTTGCTCTATAATAACAAAATATACACAAAAGTCTGGAATAGCGGATAAATTCTATATTTTATTTGTTACTTAAATAAAAATTATTTGAAAAACGATGTAGGTATTATTTGTTCATTTTAAAATTAAAATTAACTACAAACTAAATTATTTACATTGTTTTTCATGTCAGCTTATCTCTTGATTTTATATTATTTTTATTAAATCTGCTAGGTTTCCATATTCACGCCGTCCTCAGGCATACTTTAACACATTAATAAACATAACAATTACATTGTTTTTACTAGCCTGAACTGCTATGCAAATTATTAAAATAGGTGTCGATTATGTGCTAATTCATTATTGTCTTAAGCAGGATTTGTTATCTCATATGAATGTGTATGATTATTAAAATATTTTATCATTAATATTAAATTAAATGAAACTATTAAATTATTAACAATTGAAATTGGAAATATATTCAACGCCTGTTTTGTAACACCATGAAAATCAAAAGAAAGAAGTTTTAAAGCAACAATTACGAATAGTTCCTTAAAAGAAGAAATAAAACAAATTCTAAATCATGCGATGTTGGAATAAAAAAATTATCAAAACAACATCGACTTAAGATAACTTATAATATACAACTACAACAATAGATAAGAGAAGGAATAATTAAAAAATCCATAATTTTTTATAAAACTAAGCTTCTGAGACCTCTAATTCGTAGAAATCCGAAAAGTTGAAATTAATCAGTAATGAATCGATACGTAGGAGAGTATTCTTAAAATCGATAGTGTTTTCAAAAACTGTGCCTCCAATACTGTAATAACAGAACCCTAAAATCGAATAAGTCAGAAAATTTTAAATTAATCAATTACAAATCGATAGGCGGGAGACTGTCCTTGAATACCACACAATGGACCGAAATATGGAAGAAATTTTTATGAAATAATATTTTTTTTATTAATGATGGTGTAGCTGATTTTATAGTACGTGAGATAATTTTATTATTAGTTAGCATTTTCTTCTAAATAAAAGTATTTGTTAAATAACAAATGCAATTAACTTTATTTATATACTCTTAAATAAATAAATTTATTTAGTGAAGTTAAGTATTTAAATAAAAGTATTTCTTTGAATATTTAAATAAATACTTATTTAAATAAGTTGCCAGATTTGATCGGAAATAGGCACATAATGACCTGGGACGGCTCAGAACTGCGTCCTATGTTGCACCAATGTTACACCTCTGCTGCTCCTGTGCTGCGCCTGCCCTGCGCTCAATTTGTGGCCGGCCTAATACTTGCACGATGTGCTATATTCTGGACTCTGATTGTATATGTCCAGCTTTAATCAACACTATTTAATTAATAAACATTACATTATGGATAAACGGAAATTAAGATTTGCATAATATATACGTTTGCTTAACCCTCAATGACAAAAAGGTGCTGTATTACAGACCAGCTGTTTTCAAATATTTTTTCTTGGCACCTTTCTCCGGCTAAACAAATTCCGCCGCACTCTTGACAGAAAAAAAAAAAAAAAATTGTGACACTCTCGTGTCATGACTTATTTATAAGTGTAAAACTTATAAATAAGTCATAGAAGGAAAGGGCTGTGGCAACTGGTTACTGCTTTTCCTCATGCCTATCAAGCCTCTTTATTTTATATATGTATTATTTATTTTTCTTCTTCTCAGTATATAGGCAGCATATCTACTGATTGTTAATAAATGTAATTAACAGGCGCTGATAGAAAAATAAAAGTGAAAAAAATGGGTTGGTGTTTTGGGTTTCATTGAAAAGTCACTAAGTACATTATTGGTGAAACCAAACTTTTCAGTACGCTTTTGTCAATTGCGACCTTATTTGTCGACCCAATAACAAAATTAGAGCATAAAAATGAAAAATAAAATAATAATAAATCGAATATAGTTACACTAATTGAAAGTGCACAATATTCTGATTCGAGAGAGAAGAAATTCATCAAATATTTAGTGATATAGTCTTATGAAATATCATTTAATGCCTTTTTGCAATTAACTGACGATATGGTAATTGGTTGTTTTAAATTAATGTTATGCATCATATAATTTCTACTTTAATCTACCTATATATGAAAATGCCTATTCTTACTCAAAAGTAGGGTGATAAGTGAAAGTTGACTCCATATAAAAGTGGAACGATTGATTCTGATTGTGTCACTAATAAGCATTGATGTAGAGTAGTGTAGATCGGAATCTCTTCCAATATCCTTGTTTTTCTTGGTTTCAACCATTTTAAGTCGAGGAATGACAGGATAAAATTGTCGGTACTCCTAAAATCCTCCAAGTCGCCGTACAGCTTGGTCACCAAATTAGTTGGTTCAAGGCCATCTCTGCTTCTGTTGTTCCTCCATTAGGATGCATGTCTGGAGAATATGTTCCGCTGATTGTTTTTTTAAGGTATAAGTTATGAGTGTTATGTCCAATTCTAAGTCGGAAAATTAAAACTTCTTTCCTACCTTGAAAATGTGTAGTATGGATCATGGGGGTTGGATTGTTCCACCTCTGCTGAATCGATGCTTTGAATATCGTTTACTTCTTCAAGTTATGATTGGTATTAGGTACTTACGGAGGTAATTTGAGTTAGTTTAGAACCTTCCTTTGCAAATTAGATAAACTTATAGCTGATAGATAATCCATTTCCAGTTATTGCACAATGCCCAGGGATCCAATGCAGAGTGAGTTGTTCATAAGTGGATGTGAGGCGTTTCAAATCGGCCACAAGCAATGACAGCTCCGCTTTTCACTTGGAATTTATTGTCAAAAGAACCGATGCTGTGTTAGTTAGAAAAATGATTTTTGATTTCCGAAGCCTCTCTAGGTCTTAGAATTCTCGCTGGCTCCAGTATTGACTCTTGCTCGGCTCTATAGTATGGACCTCGTGGCAATCACTTTCTGAAGTACGTGCACGTTTGGAGATTTCATGATTTTATGCCCGCCGCCATTTTCTGATCCAAATTTTTTGGGGTGGATGGAGTTTACATATTCAAGTGTTCAAGCTCTGGTTTCGAATTGGTTCTGGCCTTTTATTTTTATCTTTTAAGTCCAAATTCAGCATCTTGCTATCCATCCTATCCTCCAGTTTGAGAAGGTCCGTAATGGACTCTATTTTATTTACCTTAGTAGATTTTAGTTCAGTAATTATCTTTAGGCCTTGATTTTGGGTAACAGGAACTTTTTGCAGTTTAGAGTTTGCTGTATCTCCCCAACTGGCATATCAATCAAATCAATCTACCATCGATCAACTTTTTTCCCTTATACACACTATGGAAAAAAATAAAAATACATGTGGATGCTCTTCATTAATTTTAAGGAGGCCTATGACACGGTGGTTAGAGAGTAGCTTTGTTATGC